GACATTGTGGGGCCCGATCGTGACCCTTGACGGCTTCGAATGACGTCTACTTTATCGGCAATTATTGTGTCTGTCGGACTCGAATCTTCTTGATATCCGGGTGGAACTGATGATATTAATTCTGCTCGGCTCGAACGTGGATGATTTGGGCACTTCGGAACTTGGTCGATATTAAATAATCAGCTCAGAGAACATGCAATATTTATATTTATTTAATACATATATCCACGTGTAATATTTTAATAGGCGAGGCCAAAATTTGATGTCAACAATCGACTCGACCCCGACTGTCTGTTCATGTGATCCAGCTTCCGTTCGTCTGTTCCCGGTCATCCCGAATCCGACAGATTCAAAAAATTTTAAGCCGTAAGGTTTCTACGTCAAACCTTTAGATCCGCTGCTCATAAATTTACGTTTGCTATTGAATCCGTAACTTGTACATAATGAGATCCTCATTGATCCCAACAGGCTGAGCACCAAAGACCGTCGGGATTGTTTCATCCACTCGACATCCCTGAGTGGAAATGAGAGCATATCACGATGGACTATGAAGATGGAGGAGTACGCTCCACTGTACAATAGTTCGACTCCACGGGGTGCCTGAATCGATTGTATCCGACTGAGACCCACGGTTTACTTGTAGGTTTTGGAACAGCTTGCATCCTGCCATGGGGACGAAGTTGACTTTTAACACCGCTTATCATCCTCAGACCAATGGACAGTCGGAGCGTATCATTCAGACTTTAGAGGACCTTCTGAGGTTATGTGTGCAGTGTGCTTGATAAGGGTATGTCCTGGGAGGAATTGGTTCAGGACAAAGCTAGCTCGGGAAGCTCGCCTACCTCTCCAGCGCTCGGTCTTCCCTGTAAGAAAGATTGATACCTAGTAGGTCGCTTGCTCGGCCATGTTTTTCGAGGTTGCTAACCTCACGGGTTGCTCAAGCCCAGAGACCTCAACGAGATCGGAAGTTGGCTCCTTCCCAAATCGCGGCATTGAAGAGTCGGTTTGTCAGAGTTCAAGAGATGATTTAA